TTAATACCCCCCCCCCCCCCCCGTTATTGCGCCCCTGAACTACAGCTGAATGTTTGAATGTTTGAATACTTTCAGTACTATTATATCGTGTTCTACTATGGCTGGATGGACTAGAGTTACTAGAAATACTTATTTTATTTTGATATTAATAATGATAAAAATGGTTTCACTCACTGCCACCGATACGGGATCAACAAAAGAAAAAGATGTAATAGAAAATGATGGTAAATATACGCCGGGGACCGAATCTAATTAATTTGAGCAAGGTCGCTTAACTACATTCTACCGATCCAAATCCTGAATCACCGATTCAAAGTTATAGAGTCATAATGATTTGAATCGGGGATTCAGTATTTAAATGACGGTATGTAGTTCAGCCACCTATCCGATTCATTAAATTATTTCCTTGTTTCAACATATAAAAATTGCTAGCTAGAGTTGGGGAAAGGGGTGAAGCTAACGGAAATATTTCTAAGTTAACGGAAATATTTCTAAGTTAACGGAAATATTTCTAAGCTAACGGAAATATTTCTAGGTTAACGGAAAATTCCACAAATAATTCGGACACTCATTACGTTATATAAAAAAACAGAAGAATGATGAAATAAAAACTTTTAAAAAGCCAAAGTTTAATTTATTAAAGTTTTATATTTTAAAAATGTAACTTACGAACAACAATTTTGTCATTCTCAAACCTTTTCCGACGTTTACCAAAACTTTAAACTTTATTAAGGTGGTAGGGCTGGTTTAAGTATACTTTATTAAGGTGGTAGGGCTGGTTTAAGTATACTTTATTGAGGTGGTAGGGCTGGTTTAAGTTCTCTAAACCAACTGAAGTTTTTGAAAATTTCCGAAAAAGTTTGTCCTAACACCTAGTCCTGGGGATTTTTTCACAATAAATAAACATCTTGACTTGAACGCTTTTTCACTCTTCCATCTTTAAAATTGAAAACAATGTTCAGTGTTCTTAAAAAATAAAAAATAAATTAAAATTGCCCGACCCAGGCTTGAAAGAATACAAAAAAGAAAAATTCACCACGAAAAAATCGGAAATATATTCAAGGCCTTGTAGAGTGATTTAATTTTTCAAAAAATGTCAATATTTAATTATTTTTTGTAATTGAAACTTTTTTTTCAATTCTCACTAATCAGATCTATTCCTCATACAATTTTTATATTCTTGAACCCTCTCCATTGTTTTAAATTGAAGAAGTTTGGTATTGTAAAACAACTCGACTGTCGCAACCTTAGGCATATATATTCAAAATTATAACTTGAAAACCGCAAATGAAAAGTAACCAGCATCCCCCTCTAGGCTCTAGTTAAGAGTGTTTAAGTTGTATATTTTAAAATTCATGATGAAGTAACATTTTTTTCATTTTATAAATCATTTATTTTATACTTTATGGGACAAACAAAAATTCACACGGAAATGAGACCCATTTTGTGATGAGGAGAAGTGGGGGGGAATAGGATATCTACAGTCTCATAGAATTAATTACTTTTTATGTGTTTGTATAAATTACCAACATACTAATTCACGTGCATGTGAACATTTTGTTTTGAATCTTTATAACAGAAAAAATATCAAGGGAAATAATAATTTTCTTTAAACATTTTTTAAAAAGTGAATTTTTACAAGTTATCTTTTTCCACCATAATCTGAGTATGTTTCCCTTTTTTCGATTGACAATCCATTTTTTTAGTTTTATATTTTTGTGATTTTTTTAACATTTTTAATATGGATTTTGATGGTTATGATATCGTTAGACCTGAAGAGGGTCAACCCAGACCGAAATATATTTCATACTCTGTGAGGTTTGGAGTGACTTCAACGCCAAATTTTAAAGCAATATTTACTGTTTAGACTCTATGAACCATCTACCCGAGGCGACCTTCCAAAAGTATGCCCACCGAGTGTTTTATATTCTGGAGAAAACAGAATGGAAAAATATTTCCCATAACTGGTGGAGGAAGAGAAACGGTAAATTTAGTTCATAATTTCTGATAGGGACTTTTATTGACACGTTTTATTTTAAGAGATTTATATCAAATCCACTCTTTCAATCTTTATCTCTTCAATAATATGCAAGTTTCATAATTCAATTGATAAAAATATTTTAAAAATTAAAAACATGGATATCTCGTTTAAAATTGATTAAAGGTTACGAACCGAATTAAAACTCTAAAAATGTAGGATATAGTTGGTTGATAAAAGGGTTTATGTGTCTGCCATCGATTTAGAAAATAACTCACTGAACTAATTTCTTAAAGACACTCTTAAAATAAGTAGTTATTTACGCATACGTTTGAGCTTTTATATCTTCGGTGGTCCCTAACAAACTATACAATACAACGACGACTTTTAAACTAAAATAAATATTTTGGATATAGTCTAATGTGCAGATATATTATAGATCCCCAGAGTGAATTAACTGAGAATGAGATAAATGAACTAGTAACATTATTGGACGGTTTATTGGAGAAGGATTCAAGCAATTTGACACAAAAGGAATTAAATTACGTCAAGAAACGAGAAATTGATCAAATAAGGTAAAATTCCAAACTCGGTAAAGGCCCTATAACACACAAAATCAACAAGTACGAAGCCTCACATTTAATTTTGAAATCAAAAGACCCCTCCTAACCCTATAAAGGCTGCGGGATCTGGGGGGGGGGCGTCCCTTACCCACCCCTAGAAACAGGCCTTAGAGTATATAGATTGTAGTAAATGCCGTACTCTTAAAAGTTTATCCCCCCAAATTGTATAAGCCCAGGTACAACCAGTCCGCTGCGCTATCCAATTCAACCAGGACACAACCAATCTGGCTCTTAATGCCACACAGGGACACACGCGTAGCTTTCAACCTAGCTATTCCTCAGACTCTAAATGGCACACAGGGACACAAGCAAAGCAATAAACCTAGCTATTCCTCAGACTCTAAATGCCACACAAGGACACAAGCATGGGCTATATTTTAGCCCTTAATCAATCATAACACTATAACGAGGTATGATCTCAACCCGAATTATTTCAACGGAGTACAATTTCTCTGCAATGTAATCAAAGCGGAGTTCTGATTTTAACTGATCTCTATTTACAAAATCTATATTACATGTTAAGTTCCAATACGCATTCACAATATTACGTGGAATTAATCTGATCACAATCGTCGCAGTATAAGTTTTACGTAGTTAAGGATTAACGCAGTTAGATCCTTAGACAAGGTACAACGCTTTTTATGTAGGTATGTTCAAAGAGCATTTATTACATATATAGGGTTGTAATGCACGTTTTTAGCCCAATTTTTCAAGGCCAGCTCATTGTAAAAAAATATACGATAACTTTCATAGTTTGGTCGTTAAGCAGGGTTGAAAAAAATCCAAAAAAGGTAAAACAAACGTAAAAATATATTTTATCAAGATTTGACACATGTTGTTTCGTCTATTTTTCAAGAGCTTTTTAAAAATATAGTTTTTAGATCTGTAGCTTTAGTCACAAAAATTTATTGGCTATTTCAGATGTTTTTTTTACGCTAACGGGACTTTTTTCCGCCCTGTACCCTATCATATGCTTTAGAAAAATGTGTGCAGAAAATCCTTTAAATTTTTATTAAAAGTCAAATAATTTAACGGTAATAGTGTCAAAATAGAGAGTGCTAGGGCAAAAAAAAGCCTGCTTAGGATTAGAAGAAACTCATCTTATAGATAAAAACACAAAGAACTTTTATTCATTTTTTTATTTTTGGTTGTCCACGAAACATCAGAAATTTTACACAAAGGGGTTGAACATAAAAAACATAAAATTCCTTTGCAACCTGATGGATTAAAGCTTTAAACTTGGACTGCTTGATTAAAAAGAAATATCAGAGAACTGCGACATCAGGTTACAAAGATATAAATAAATGAAAAATAAAATTCCTTTGTCTGAGATTTAAAAACAGTGATGAACAGTATATAAAAATGTTCTTGACCTTTTTTTTTAATAAGGTTCAAAATGTGAATTTTTTAAATGTTTTACAAAAACATCAGGTTGCAAATATATATTAGAATTTATGGCGAGTATTTACTTAAATTTTCAAAATATCTCCATTAGTACGTTAAACGTAACGATCATTCTTCTTTTCGTTCGTTACGGAATTTTTCTTTAAATCTGGGTTTGTTATTTGCCAACTGCGGCGTATGTTTTTCTGATCTTATGTTTTTCTTTTACTTAAACGAACACAAATTCATCTTCAAACTATTTGTTATTTTTATATATCTTCGTCGTATATCGAAGTATGTAAATCGATCACAATTTACTCCGCTTATGTAGAAAAATTGGAAAGTACCTTTCACATTAGATGAAAGGAACTGAGTTTTAGCAACAATCTTAACTTTGCTAATCCTTATATCTTTGCATCCTGATGGTGCACACTTTTAATATTTCAAAATTAGATCATTTTATCCACATAATTTAAAGTTTGAAATATTAATGGTATACCACATCGGGTGCAAAGATATAGGGGGTGAAAAATTATAGTTTGTGACAAAAACCCATTTTCTATGACTTGTACAATGTACATGTCTGCAGTATCTTTTAAACACTTTTTCATTGAGTTTTGTCGCTTTAGAGGATTTTTTTTATTTAAATCTTTGAGTTTCAATTTCAATACTTTTTTTTTAAATTATGCACTTTCCAGTTACCAGCACTCTTTTTCCTTTCTTTCATTTCCAGTAGGGGGGGGGGGGGCAAATATTAATATGTGTTTTACATCCAGTTTTTCAGGGAGTTTTTAAATATGTAAGTTTTAAAAAATGTATTGGGATCTCCCGGGTTAGGGTTAATGAAAAAATGTGTTATATTGTATACAATATAAAATCAAGAAGTTTCAAGATGACAGCGTCAAAAAAGAAGAAACCAAAAACTTCCATTACTTATTTTAGTTCTGAACAAAAAAATACGCTTTGATATTAGTTTCTGCAGAATTCGTTTGTTATATATGTACTATCTTGTCCAAACAAAATATATTATTATTTAGAAGAAGAATACTCCCGAGAAAAAAGTATCTTCAAAAAGATTTTCAGGTAAGATATCGAAAATTAAAACAAGCTAAAGGGTCTTCCACGTATTATTTAATATTAATTAATAATTCCGGCTGTGAACAAAAACCTGTTATTTTAATATCATGGAAAAATATCAATTTTGTCAATATCCTTCCTTGCTTGTGCTGCAATATTCCGGTATATTTTGAATCGGTCATTTAACACTTTCAATAGACACTTGAAAATAAGTCGGCACTACGAAAGTCCAGGTTGTACTCATAGTTACTCCCGCCCTTTACCCGCGCTTCGTCGTAAATTACGAATTTAGCTATTTTTCCTACACGAGTCCACTAAATTTAGAATCTCAAAACCAATCTTTAAGAACATTCCCGTGGTTCTCCCAGGTTCTCCAATAAAAATTTGAGACAAATAGGTCAAGGGGTTCATGAGTTATGATCGGACATTCAAACAAAGACGATAACTAAATATCTATATATAAGTTGTCACCAAAATTGAGTGAACACAATACCCTTTTATACAAGTCAAATAAGACTTGGTCGCTTAAAGGAAGTGACCAGCTATGTATGGTAGTTGAACTGAGTATGTAGTATTGTGGACAAATTCTTTAGGATTTATTTGAGACATAAACAACGTTTTAACAATCTATAATTACTGAGTTTGAGCATAAAATCTACGTTCAAAATCGTCTATTTGAGTGGATAAGTTATGAGAATTGTTTTTTTTTTTCAAATTATTAAGTAACGACGCAAAAAATATTGTAAAAATTCTATAGTTAATACACAATAATTGGATGTTTAGGAACATATCTCTAAAAAGAAATTTATCAACAAATCAATGTTAGACTCAATTTTTTCGTTTTCATCATTATATTGGATTTCTTATTTTCTCTAAATTTGTTCGTAGATTTCTAGAAATTCTTCAAATAAAAATCTGCAGCAAATATTTGTGCATCATGAGAGACAACAGAAACTAATAATTGAATAAAATTACTTATTTTTCGATGATAAGAGTTAATTTTTATTTTTTCAACCTGTTCTAAACAAATAATTAGTGTATTGTAGAATTTTTATTACATTTTTTGTCGTCGTTATTTAAAGATTTAAAAAAACGATTCTTAAAACGTATCCACCCAAATTGATAATTTTGAACTTTGACTTTGCCCTCAAACTCAGTAATTATAGATCTTTAAAACGTTAATTATATGTCTCAAATAAATACGAAAAAATGTGTTTACCATACATTGCCGGTCACTCCCTTTAAACATTTTATTTTAGAGAAGTGTTTAATTGTTTATTGTAATGTTGCATTAAAGTTCGAAAGTTGTAATTTCTGTTTTTCTATTTGTTTGTTTGTTTGTCCGATCATAATCAGGAACCTCTGAACCGATTTGCCACACATTTTGGTTGGGGAACTCAGGATGCCCACTGGAATATTCTTTGCTTATGGTTTTGAGATTCTAAATTAAGTGGGTCGACTTTAATCGATCAACTGCGGGTAAACGCGACGGTAGTGACTTTTTAAGTAACCCGGCAGCGCTGGGTTCCCAAGCTAATATATATAAAGAAGAAGATTCAAATTATATGACTTAATTTTTATTGTTTTAGGAACCAGATCACTTAGACATGACAAGAATAAAGTTTGATGGCCAGGACTGGAAACTTCTGATACGAGGGAGGTCGTTTTAGAGTCCACATGTTGAACATATATAGGACAGATTTCGCAAAATTAGATTCTAGATGTTGGAAATTTATAGGACAGATTTCGCAAACTTAGAGTCCACATGCTGGACATTTATAGGACAGATTTCGCAAACCTAGAGTCCACATGGTGGACAGTTATAGGACAGATTTCGCAAACTTAGAGTCTAGATGTTGGACATTTATAGGACAGATTTCGCAAACCTAGAGTCCACATGGTGGACAGTTATAGGACAGATTTCGGATAGATGATAGATGTATGCCATTTATAGGACAGATTTCGCAAACTAGATGTTGACAATTTAGAGGCCATATTTATTTACAGAATTAGAGGCTCGATATCATAGGAATCATCGAATTCATAGGATAAAGATTAAAAATTCGATTGATACAAATAGTTCAAAGAAATTGAGTGTTTCTCATCCCAATCTTTTTGAAACCTGGTGGTGTACCGTGTAAACCTTTGATTTTTCAAACTAAGATTATTTAATTTAACAGAATTTAAAGTTTCAAATGACTAAGGTACACGACATCGGGTTGCAAAGGGAAAGGCATTAGAAAACTAGAGTTTGTTGCAAATACTCAATTTATTAAGAGGATAGATACAATTTTTAAACAGATATTACAAATTCAATGGTGGATATAGATAGTATTGAATTGAGACTTTGCCACAAACTCTTTGAAACCCAATGTTAGATATTTCATACTCTGTGATCTTGCTATTGCTACATGTGTTGCATAAAACATGCTGGGTCAACTCTACACTTGGAAGCCGGACTGGACAGTACAACTGACTGCATATACAGTACGTGTTGTACCAGCACGGATCATGCTACTTTTAGACTGGCATGATGTTAGATCAATTAATCTAAATTTGACATAAACCTGTAGAAAATACCCTACTTCAGAATGGTTTCTCTAACCCGTAACTATCAAAGCACTATTCAGTTTCACTTAGCTATCAACACTAAACCCGGACACAAACTTGTCAGCTATCAATGTCTACATGTACACAAGCATGTAATCAATCAACGCTAAATCAATGAGCGCAATCAGCTATCAATGTCCTCCACGGACACAAGCACGTAACTGATCAACGCCAACCAATGGTATTGATCTGCTATCAATGTCTACACAGACACAAGCACTTAATCGATAAATGCTAAAGTAATGGGCACAATCAGCTATCAATGTCCTCCACAGACACAAGCACTTTATCGATCAATGCCAAACCAATGGGCACAATCATCTATCAATGTCCTCCATGGACACAAGCACATAACTGATCAACGCCAAACCAATGGGCGCGATCAGTTATCAATGCTTCTCCATTGACACAAGCACTTAATCGATCAATGCCGAACCAATGGGCACAATCAGCTATCAATGTTCTCCATGGACGCAAGCACGTAACTGATCAATGCCAAACCAATGGCCTTGATGAGCTTTCAATGTCACTCCATGGACACAAACACTTAATTGATCTACACCAAACCAATGGGCTTGATCAGCTGTCAATGTCCTCCATGGACACCAGCACATTATTGATCAATGCCAAACCAATGGGCGCGATCAGCTATCAATGTTTCTCCAGGGACACAAGCACTTAATCGATCAATGCCGAACCAATGGGCACAATCAGCTATCAAGGTCCTCCACTGACACAAGCACTTAATCAATCAATGCCACACCAATGGGCGCGATTAGCTATCAATATCCTTCAAGGACACAATAAGCAACTATCAATTCCAAACCAATGGGCATGATACTAGCAGTAATAAGTACGGAGTCTCTATATCAACTGATGTATTTGAGGTTTATATGTTACAAGTTAAAGTTAATAGAAGTAATTACAATTTCTACATGGTTATCTATATCACATGATTAAGGCAATCATGCTATGTATTACAGCACAATTGAAATAGGCACAATTAAGATGTACATCATTATATATATCACATGTTAAAGCTAATCATGATACATATTCATTTGAAGCGTAGTTCAAATGAATAATGGGTTTTACGGAAAGTTTACAACATAGATAGTTAATAATGTACAACGTACTTCATGTTTACAGAATATTGTGTTACCCGTTATTTATTACATACCATCAGATTGCAAAGATAAAGAGATTAGAAAACGTGAGTTTGTAACAAAGATTCAATTTCTTTAGAGGATACATATTACAAAATTAGGTAAAACATGTGAAAATATGGGAAAAGATATATGCTGGTAGAAATCCATTAGTTCTCCAACCTGCATCAGATCAACATGTCCTCCTGCAAATATATTGGTAATAAATGTTAATTATGTCCTAACTAACCAACTTCTAAAGTGGTGACCCTAAGATAGAAGTACAATGACGGACATTCAATCAGTTTCTCTTAAACTGTCCCAGTTCTGGCCTGATGGTGATAAATATGGTTTCAGCAAGCAATATCAATATGCCATCCACAGCATCACTGAAAAACAAACCAAATATCATCATGTCGTAACAGCTTTTCATTATGAGATGGCAGTCAAGCTTCAAGATTTCTTCAAAATGTTCCGGAGGAGAAGCAGTACACGGTTCTGAAAAACTGCCTCCTTAAGAAGTTTAGTTATACAGATTTAGAAAAGGCAGAAATGGTTCGTTCAATGCTTGGTCTTGGTGACAAAAAAACCATCTGACCTCATGGATGCCTCACTAGCTGTTTGCCCTTCAGGTCAAGAAATGTCTCCCTTGTTCATTAATGAATTTCTTTGCAGAATACCTGGAGATATATACGCGGACACCTTACTTTTAGTTATAAGGACCCCGAGCTCTTCCTCATCAAGCTAGCCTTGTTTGGTCTTTCCATTCCAAAAAATAAACTGAAACTATTTACTCCAGGAGCCAACGATCTACTTAACTAATTCCTGGAGCTCATGCCTCATAGGCTAATCTTCAGCTTCTCCTGGAGCTAATAAGCTGATCATCAGCTACTCCTGGAGCTAATACTCTAAACATCTCCTGGAGATAATAAGCTGATCATCAGCTACTCCTGGAGCTAATACTCTCAACATCTCCTGGAGATAATAAGCTAATCTTTAGCTATCTAGGAGCTAACAAGCTATGCATAGTTACTCCTGGAGCTAACAAGCTACTAAACTAAAACTAGGCACTCCAAGAACTTTAACATACTCAAAGATATTCTGGACTCCAGTTTTCTACAGGTTGAATCAATGCCGGCCTAGCCATCACTACAAATGATTCAAATGGCCCACTGGCTAGCCTTACTTAAAGTTGATCATGACGTGAGAAGAGGAAAGATCAATAACTTATAAGAAATCCAAATCAATCTTGTCCTAAACAGCTCTATATCCTATGTTAAATCCACATCAGTCTCAAACTCCTATATGGACCCCGTGACTAGGGGGGGGGGGAATTCATGTAGAGGATAGATTTTTTCCTTAAATCCGAACTAGGAATCCTGGAAGGGAAAGGAGAAAAGACGGGAAAAGATATATGGTGGTGTAAATCCAGTAGTTCTCCAACCTGCATCAGATCAACATGTTCTCTTACATAGTAGTTTATTACATACAAAAAGGAGATTTGTCTTAACTTCTAAACTATTATATATTCGAAAATTAGAGAACATATATTTAAATTACATATAGAATTGAAAGAGTAAGAGGCGAAACTTTAAGATTTAAAGACTTTTTTGATCCAAAAAAAAAATATCATGGAACAAACTGTTTCAGATTGATCTTTTTAGTTCAACAACTTTTTGTTGTTATAATACATAAAGCTCCAATTCGGAATTATTTAAATTGTGTAATAAATAATATTTTTGAATATCCACTATGGTAAGAAGAATACAAAAAATCCGAAGAAAACATTGTTGAAAATAGAGAAGAATAACAAGAACTTAATAATAACATTTCAAAAACGACCATTTTAACATAGCCTTTGAAAAACATAGAAGAGAATGGACACATCTAAGAGAATTAAACTGGAAGCAGTTTCAGATGGAGAAATTATTTCAGGGTAAGATAGCAATACTTTACAAATATTCAAAAATTAAAGGGACTGTAAGCGTAATTTCAATGTTTATCGAGCAGAGAGAGCTTGATCAGTCAAAGGTTGAAAGGATACCATTGTGAATCAGAAATGCCCCTCTTCAAATGAAAGGTCACTTGAAATTACCCTTACAGCCCCTTTAAGCACCTCTAGTTAAAGTAAATTCAACATTAGGTCCAAGTCATAAATATTTAAACTATCACTGCTTATTAAAAAACAAATTGTGAAGAACTAAATTTGAAAAACGACTTACAGATCGTTTTTGATAAATTTTAATATCACAAATAAAATTCTTCGACAATTTTCACATAATCCAAATAATCGGGCATTTTCAAACTCTTGTCTTCTTTTTTGTCCTCGTAAAAATTACGGAGCTTTCAATTATTTTAACAATCTTAGACAATGTTCAATTCTTCTCTCGTGGGACACCCAGTATGTTCTTAAATAATAAAACTTCTGCTTTCTTTGTCTATTTCTGTTCTATTTCTGACTCCTTTTTATTAGTTTATATTCCTGATCTGGGAACTTTTTAATGTTGGATATCGGGATTTATGCTTGATCCTCTCTTTTTCTTAATCTCAAGATTAAATAATGCTTGTTATCCTCTTGTTATTAATCTCCAGATTAATTAACCGATCGGGATTAAGGATATCACAATCTTAAGTTTTCAGCTAAGGTTATATTTCTTTGGTTCTTTGTTCCTTTATTCCTTTTTATTTCTTTTCTGAGCTGAAAACTTTAGAATGGTGGATATCAAGATCAGTTGCTTGATCTCCAGATTAAATAATGCCTGTTCTCCTTGTAATTAATCTCCTGATTAATTACCCGATCGGGATTTCTTTATGATTTTAGCTTTATGTTCCAAAATTCTTGGATAATATCATCCAAGTTATGAATAATTTCAGAAAAGCAGGTTCTCCGGCATATGAAGAACGATGTAGAGAGGAAAAAAGAGATTGAGAGGATTGAGAAACATAAAGCTGAACTTTCAAATATAGGAACTCAACATATTTCACAAATTTGTTTTTATCAGTAGTCAATGCTTTATCAAAAAGGAGTTGAGTCTTTTCCACAATCTCTGATTTTTAAATCTCTTTACAACTTTTGTTTTAAATTTAATTAGATTAAATAATCTAATTTCGAAATATCAAAGGTTTACATAATCAGGATGTAATAATATAGGGATTAGAAAATTTAGCGATATTTATTTGGATGGTTTAATATATTCTTTAACTTTTTATCTTTTATATTTGGTTAAAGGAACCTTTAAATTTAACATTTCAATTTGACCCTTTAACTAAATTGTTTCAGGCCCGGTTCATTTGAAAACTGACTTGCGGATTTATGCAGAGCAGAGACAACTGAGAAAATTGAAAATAAAACAAACTATACATGGCTTGTCTGTTAGGGTGTCTATATGTATCCAACAAACGTTAAAATGGCTAAACCGATTTTTTTTTGTGGTTACTCACGATCCCAGACCTTAAGGTTTTGTTTATTGAGTTTTCAGCTAAAGTGCACTATTGCCTGTACGTGGAATTTTAGAAACACTTTCGACAATTTCGACAAAAAAAAATTTGATTTTTTAGTCTATGTTTCCCCCAGGGCCCAGGGTACCCACGGGTTTTAGAAAAAAATCAGCCGACTCGGCCCACCCGTTCGGCCAGCATATAGGTAAAATATACAAATATACATACATATTTATATATATATGAGCGAAGAAATTTATAATATAGATTAAGCTTTTAGACTTTTCATTATAACACCTGCTCTCAAAACGAAAATAAAAATTATGTCTTGTTCATAATCCGAAGAAATAGATATTTATTGTGTTTTTTTTGAAATACAGCTCAACAACTTTCAACTGAAATAAATAATATGAATTTGAACTCAACTGTTCATGGGTTCCTCTACTTTCTTGTAAATTTAAATTAAGTTTTAAGCCTTCATGACTCTCTTTCTTATGTAACTGTGTTTTTCCATCCCTGAGCATAATGAATTCCGCTCTTTTCATAGATTTCAATTAAGGAATTTTTACAGAATTATTTCTTTAAAGGGAGTGTTCGCGAATAATAAAAGAGGGTATAGGCTTAATGCGATAAAAAAGCGCTTTTGATCGCTACTAATTTTACTTCTTTCTGTTGCGTCATAAGGAGAAAATTGTTAAAGACGTCTCATACCGAATAACTTAGCGCCAATACAAATTTAGAAAATTGTAACATACGACTTAGACCGTAAAAAATCAATAATATCAAAAAAATGGAATTTCTGTATTTGTTACAGAACAAATAGTTAATAATGTACAACACTGCATGTTTACAAAATATCATGAGACCCGATATTTATTACAAGAGCGTGGTGAAAATTAGGGTTATCTTATCCCTTATTTTCGACATACTTATTTATTTCCATGGCAACTCCACATCTTCATATATTCCATTCTAGATTTCTGTTGTAACTTGCGTACATACTTCATTTGTACACTGTTGTAGACCTCCTTAAGATCGAACCTGATGACAGACATTTCTAGATTTACTGTAACATTTCTGTCTAGGATCCATTTTAGAAATCTGTCCTGTAGCATCCCAGCAGGATTCATGATGGTGTACAGGGCTGCATACAAGAACATTGACAGATTTGCATTTAGTCCTAAAAAAGAATTACTTGCAAGAAATCATCTTTATTAATTCAGTTTTTTACAGATTAATTGGTGAGGTAAACATGGACTTATCACAAAGGTTTTGAAAAAAGCCTGAAAAATGCGGGAAAACAAATTTTTCCCCACATTTTGTTGTTTGATTCAAAACTAGATCACAATTCAGCTCTGCATGCAAAAATCAGAGAGAAATCTCTATTAATAGAGTCCAGAATTGAGTTTCCCGACCCAATATTGATGACTTTAGACAGGGGGAAAAATCAGGGGAAAAATTATTTTTTCCCCACTTTGGTTATTGATTTAAAAACTAGATCACAATTCAGGTCTGCATGAAAAATCAGAGAGAAATTTCTAGTAATAAAGTCGGAAGGCTTCTATGGCCTTTAGGAAGGAAAAAATGCGGGAAGAGGGGGAATTATGTAAGGAGAAAGGGAAATGCAATATAGAGTCCAGAATTGAGTTGACTGTCCCAAAGTTAGTGAGTTTAGACACCCCACATGGACCAATCACAAAGTTTTAGAAAAATGTCCAAAAAATGCGGGAAATACAATTGAGGTCTGCATGCAAAAAATCAGAGAGAAATCTCTAGTAATAAAGTCAAAAGGCTTCTTTGGCCTTTAGTTGGGAGACAATTCGGGAAAGGGGGAGAAATGGTATAAGAATAGGGGGAAAAGGATTATAGAGTCCAGAATTGAGTTTTCCGACCCTATGTTTATGATTTTAGACACCCCACATGGACCTAACGCAAAGTTTTTAAAAACTATGACCAGAAAATGCGGGAAAATCAGGGGAAAAATTATTAATTCAAAAACTAGATCACAATTGAGGTCTGCATGCAAAAAATCAGAGAGAAATCTCAGGTAATAAAGTCAGAACGCTTCATTGGCCTGAGGAGGGAGAAAATGCGGGAAAGGGGGGAAATGGATTATAGAGTCCAGAATTGAGTTTCCCAACCCAATGTTGATGACTTTAGACACCCCACATGGACCTAACACAAAGTTTTTGAAAAAATGTCTGAAAAATGCGGGAAAAATTAAGGGAAAAATTATTTTTCCCCCACTTTGGTTTTTGATTAAAAAACTAGATCACANCCCCCCCCCTCCACCCTTTGTATGGAAATGTGGACATTCCCCTTTAGAAAGTTTAATACTAAAGTATAGCAACTCATTATTTTACAGAACTTTTAAGCTATAACTTAAATTTCGCGCATTCTTTAGTTTTGGACTCTGGTGATCAATCTTGTTGTCGCACTCCTTATGAGTAATTTTCTTCACGTACTTCTGCATGTTATTGAACTCCTTCTTGGGTTTATCATAGCACTGGCTCCTTAACACCACCTTGTTATATTTGGTGTTTCACTGCGTCCGTATCGAGTCTGGCACTTCTTTCCATTCTCAGTTTGGCACTTCTACATCTTGGCACTTTTGTTCTGGAATGAGAAAGTTTTTAAGCCCTTGAACAGTGTTGTTTATCCTGATTATGACACTCCTCTTGTCTGCATGAGCTCTTATGGTTTCCTCCTCTTCTCTTTGTTTCTTGTCTAGGTATTCCTGTCTCTGGCTTTCAACATGTGATAATCTTTTCAACATTTCTTCAAATGCTGGTTAGACCCTTTTCAACATTTCTCTAAAAAATCTCCTGTTCCATAGTTCTTAGATGCTAACCAAATAGGATGAAACAGCACTATCACTTTTCTAGCTGATCCTGTGATGCAGAAACACAGTATCCTTTTCACGCCATAATCTGAGATTGATTTCCATTTGTAGTTAATCAGATGGGTTTCCAAATTCTTGTACCATTTGAACACTTTCTCCAGGTTTTCAAAATATTTTCTCCATTCAACCATTTGCAAAATTTAGTCAAGTAATCAGTTACCTTTTTAAGCATTGCAACTATTTGCCAAAAATTGCAATATCATAGATAACTATTATATGCAGAATAGCACAATCTTGCACAAAATGAAATTTGCACAAAAATGTAGTGCAACAAAAGCAAATATTTCTGCTTTCTTTCGCAAAAATTGCTCAAAGGTTTTGTAAATGGAAACCCTACTTGGGGGGTAAAATCTAGGTAAATAAAGCAGTTGACACTCAAATCCCTCATAACACACTTTAAAAATATATATAAAAAAAAGAGTTGAGTTTATTCTATAATACCCGGATTACAAATGTTACGGACCTATCCTATGTGGTCCCAGAATTACAGCTGGAGAAGTGCTGAATTTAGTTATGCATCTTGTATCCTACAGGGGAAGCAAAGATTGTACATAATTTAAGAAAAAAAACTTCATTTTCAGCTTGCTGTACTGAAATAAGGAGTTTAACCCCTTGTGGGTGTACAAACCATGCACAATGATACTGGTTTTTTTGTCCACCAGATGTGTTGACTAGACTGCTATGGAAGATTCCTCTCAAGGGAGCTTCAGTCCTCACAACTCCCCATTTTGCATACAGGTGCAGTTATGGGTTTTTTCTTAATCCCCCTTACCTCAGAAAGCGTATAATTAAGAAGGTCAACAGGGAGCAATCCCCTGTACACTTCCTCCTACAAACCTTCTTATTTCTCTCCTACCTGTTTCACAACTTGATGTCAAAAGAACTACTTGGAAAGTCCTTTAAGTGTAAAAACAAGATAAACAAGAAAGAAGAAGAAAACTTTGAACAGGAAAATTAGAAGGGGATTTGAGCTTTACACTATTTTTTTCCACCAATAGCGAATGAAGACAAATACACAGGATGGCAGTCGTCACAACCCCCCCCCCCCTCTATGTATAACTACCCAAAATAAAACATGCTGGAAAATGTGTAGAAAAGCTGACTCAAGCAAAATATGAAATCAACACAAGGGGAGATAGTAGTGACCTTGCTCCTCTCACCCCTCAATTTGCTAACTGCAAGGACATCCAAAAAATTATTTTCAAAACTAGCCAAGTATGATTGAAGGATGGATGAAGGATGGACAATCAAGAAGAAATAGTGAAATACTAGAAATTTAGAAGTCTCAAAATATTTCCACCTGATATCATATAAAAATTTTAAAATATTGTTGAATTTGATTGAACTAAATTATTAAAGCTAAAAAAAATTTCAATTCACTTTATTGTTTAAATTCTCGGGAACTATTTTGAACTTTTAATGAGGCTTTGTGTTTTTTTCTTGTATAACTGTTTTCTCTTTTAACTTAATCAAAAAAAAGTTTTTTTCCAGTCTTTTGATTTAAAATAATGAATTTTTTTATTTTAATATTAAACTAAATTTGTAATTTTTAAATTGTAAAGAGCATAAAACCTGCCAATTAACCGTATCTCTGGTGGGGTACTTGAAAACCAGGATATTCCCATGTTTGATGTCGAAATATGACAAATGATACATCATTGGAAAGCTCTTGCGCTCTACTTTTAGAATCTGCAAAAAAATTAGCAAATTTGCAAAAATTGAATTTTTTATCGAAAAATCCAGTTATATAGTAAAAATGTTTACAAAGAAAAAATTTGTCCAAAAAATGAAAAACTATACATTTTTGAAAAGCCCTTGACCATGCCATTTCAAATATGCAAAAATTTTGCTAAATTTTAAATAACCTGATTTTTTATCAAGAAAAACTAAAAATGTGCAAATTTCCTTTGACAGGTTGTTTGCAAAAAAATTTGCAATTTTTTTCTCGCAAAACTTAAGCAAGTCATTTCCTTATGTCAAAGGCTTTCCAAAAAACTAAATTTTATCAAAATCTGACAAGTGGAAGTGTGTCAAAACAAAGATTTAGTTTGTTACAGGAAATAGCAGTCATTCAGGCAGTGTGCCTGAGGACTCAGGCAGTTAGTATTAAAGCCCGGTTTTAGGCCTAAAGGGAGGGCTTTGGGGAATGTAGGAAAAAGTCAGAAAATTTCAACAGCCTCAGACTAATACTTTTTGAGTTATGCAAAAAAAACTACAGGAGGGGGGGTCAACTTGCCCCCCCCCCCCCAGCAGGAATAGGGTTAAGAACAAATCGTGTTTAGGAAAGTAATTAATGGAACAAAACGACCATGTCCGGAGAAGCACCTCTTTTAGCAGAAAACTAATTTTCTAGAGAACATTTTTAACCTTTGACTAGAGATCAGCATGTTCAAATTTTTTTCATTAAGTTCATTCATCGTTGGTGAATGACATTTCATTCCTTATTTTCAATTGTTTAAAAAAAATCATTTTGTTCATTCTCAAAGTTATTTTTCATTTTACATCTATTTCGTTCGTTTTCTCACTGAATAATCGTAAGGTAAACTCGTTTGTTAAGAAAAATCGTTTGTTCAGAATAGTCGTACGTTCAATAAAATGATTTTTTCAATAAAATCCTTTATTAAAAAAATCGTTGGTTCTGTAAAAAAACGTTAAAAATCGTTAAAAGATAAAAATCGTGCATTTAGTAAAAAAAATTGTTTTTTTCTTTTCTGTAAGAAATGATATATAGAGTTAAAGCATCCGCTAACGAAGAACCAAGTTGAGGAGGTTTGGGAGGAGAAAGACAATTTACCAAAGGGATTTCTAGATATATATCTAGATATCAACATTTTTCCCCATTTTGGGGAAAGCTCCAGCCAGAGAAAGGCCTGCAGCCCATAAAATCATTGTTTTCTATAAGTCTTTTTTTTATTATTATGGATTAAATAGTATACAAATATGACAAATTCTCGACTTCTTTAATTTGTTCATATTCTGTTATATTTTTTTTCACAGTTACCAATGCTCACTTACTTTGAACAAATAGCAAAACAGAAAAATATTTTCTTCTTAATATCGAATAAATGAAAGTACTTCAAAAGTAGTAAACGTGTGTTAAAATTATCCGAATCCTAATGTTAGGAATATCTCACAAATGTTTAAAAAATATTTCTTCTAATTGAGTTTTTAAATATATATATCATAAACCTTAACAGGAAGAGTTTAACGAAAGAACTTTCTTTGCTCTGCATGATTTAGGTAAACTTAAAAGTTTGAAAAAATTAATTTCCCCCATGAGGGGGGGGGGGATAGGGCATGCAAGTTCATTGTACAGATTAAACCATTTAAATGCATTTCATAGTGATTTCTTGACGCACTCTCTCAACTTTGGTTGCTTATTTTTTAAAATATTTTTTTGAGAAACCTGAATATTCTAAAATTTGCTATTTGAATTATTTGAATTTTATTATTCTGTTTTTCTATTAATAATATTTCAGATAGTAACGGGTTCTTGGATGAACATGAAGTTAATCTAATCTTGTTGGTAATCCATCTATTAATGGGACTGTTCACACATTCAATCATTGGAATGTTTTATTTACACATTTACACATTTACACATTTACACATTTACGCATTTGTTAATTTAATCATTTATTAATGGGAATACTAGAAATTTAGAAGTCTCAAAATATTTCCACCTGATATCATATAAAAATTTTAAAATATTGTTGAATTTGATTGAACTAAATTATTAAAGCTAAAAAAAATTTCAATTCACTTTATTGTTTAAATTCTCGGGAACTATTTTGAACTTTTAATGAGGCTTTGTGTTTTTTTCTTGTATAACTGTTTTCTCTTTTAACTTAATCAAAAAAAAGTTTTTTTCCAGTCTTTTGATTTAAAATAATGAATTTTTTTATTTTAATATTAAACTAAATTTGTAATTTTTAAATTGTAAAGAGCATAAAACCTGCCAATTAACCGTATCTCTGGTGGGGTACTTGAAAACCAGGATATTCCCATGTTTGATGTCGAAATATGACAAATGATACATCATTGGAAAGCTCTTGCGCTCTACTTTTAGAATCTGCAAAAANATAATAATGATAATAATGATAATAATGATAATAATGATAATAATGATAATAATGATAATAATGATAATAATGATAATAATGATAATAATGATAATAATGATAATAATGATAATAATGATAATAATGATAATAATGATAATAATGATAATAATGATAATAATGAAAATAATGATAATAATAATAATAATGATATCGATATTAATAATAATAATGATAATAATAATGATATCGATAATAATGATGATAATGATGATAATGATAATAATGATAATAATGATAATACTAATGATAATAATGATAATAATGATAATAATGATAATAATGATAATATTGATGATGATAATAATGATAATTTTGATGAGGATAATGATGTTTAGACATGTTGATAGATTTTGAAGAATTCCAAGATACTATGAGAGACGACGAAGACGAAAAGGTTGTTTTATATTATCTTAGAAAATACCATAATGCTGTGTATAAACGTGACTTTTAAAATGCAACCCTATCGCAAGAATGCAATTGAGAAAAAAAGTTAATCATGGACACCTCCTAGAACTACGAGACGTTTTTCAGGGCGGTGTCCATGCTGGAGGTCGAGATTATTACAAATCTTATTAGTCATGTGTGTGTAGTGACTCATGTCTTAAATCATTTTTTTATGTGAAATTCGATGAAAGCAATATAAATTATCCCTGATGAATTTTGGAATTCTTGGTGAACCTCCGGGGGTCCCCTCCATGGACTACATAAGAAACTTCAACAAAATACATTTTAAATTTTAAAGAGGAATAAAAAATAATTTAGAATTTTTCGACTTCCTCTTCAAAAAATAGGTATATTAGGTTCAGCTTAGTTTAGTGACCTACTGACGTAATGACGTACGTGTCTTCAGTTTTTTTTTATTCTTTGACTTTTTCTTACAACAAAAGATAGAGCGTAGGAAACACATTAAGAAAATTTAGCATAATGCTAATTATCTAAAGAAAAAAATATTAGAAACCCCGGTCTTTTTTAAGAAAGACTTTCACAATTTGTTCTACAGGGTGAGTCAAAAAAAGGGTGAATCGCAAGATCTTGCATATACTAAAGCATTTTTATTTGATAATCTCACTTTAACAAATAAGTATGAAATGTTTGAATTTTTTTAAAGACAATCTGATAGACCCTTTAAAAAATCCACTAATTATGTTTTACTCGAAATTAGATGAGTAAACAAAAGTGCGGAAATATATTATATCTATCACACCTTAAAATCTGAAACAGATTAGATGAGTATAGTTTCAGAGAAAGTGCGTGAAATTAAATTCTTAAAATCCGCTATCAGCATATTAAATGATACACTCGTGCGTATTTTCTTATTTAAATTTAGACATTTTTACCTATCTCAAAAATTCAAATTATAAAATGAATAAATAATATGAATATCACTTGTTGGTCAGTACATAAGAAACAAATTATATCTAGGGATGTTAACGTTTTCATTTTTCAGAAAAACGATCGTTTCGTTATGAAAACGACGACGAAAAAAACGATCTTTTTTAAAAAACTTTTTTTAAAAGAGATTTTTTGTCCCCAGGACATGGTCGGGTTGTTACGATCAAATCTCGGAATTTTTTCTATTGCGAAAGTTTGGTGTTGTCTGGGTTTTTTATATTGATCTACCAGGGGTTGTAATCTGGCAGCACATTCGGATATCCACGCTTCATTCATTCTGAGAAGAGGGTTGACAAGATTCCAGCTGCCTAAGATTCTTCTTAGGCCTGAGAATATAGAGTGCAGGAATCCTTCTGATATACTGGAATGAGGCCCGGGTGCCGTACTGATAGGAAACATCACACTCATTGCTCCCTAACATCTGTAAGCCCGGATTGGATACCCCCAGGTACCTATAGCTGGCAACCATAGACTCTCCCTGCTTGTCTTCCATTCCTCTCTTCATCGTCATTCACTTGGACCAATCCCACTTGAAGCTTCTTTCTTGTTGAGCAGAAAGCACGCACCCTTTCGCTGCGAGAGTTGTTGACAGCCGCCCCTCTGTCCTCCTACATCCGTCAGGTGGTCATAACTGCTAAACCAGATGTCGGCTTCAGATGTTTTTGAAACCACAGGTTTGTGTGGAGTACGGGAATCGAACCCGTGAACACCAGTCTGGACACCAATCCAGTAACTGGCTTTTTTAAAAAACAATCGTATAAAAACGGTCGCAAATCGTTTTAATAAAAGCGATCGTTTTCAAAAACGATCGCTAATCGTTTTCTAAAAGTTCAAAACGAGTGGGTCGTTTTTAAAAACGATCTTTTTTTCCGAAAACGAAACGATCGTTTTTGAAAACGAAACAAAAAACGATTAACAACCCTAAATTTATATCATTAAATTCATGATAGTTAAATCGTTAACAGAAAAATTGTTTGATCTTATATCTCGCAGTTTCTAAACGAGAGGTATTTTCCAATTCTGATCATCTGGTAATTTTGAAAACGTTAAATTTTGTTTGAAAAATTTTTGGACAAATTGTCCACCAACACATTACAATTTTTACATAAACTATTCGTTGGTAATTTTCAAACAAATTATAAAGTAAACGAATGCTTGACTTATTTGTACTACTGTTCATTCTATCAGAAAAGGCAACAAATCTGCTCCCTAATAAAGTTTTTATGTGCAAGCATCTAGAAATAGGCTCAATAAGGTATATTTGAGTATTACTCGCACTTTTGTTTTTCTACTTATCAAATGTTGTGTAAAAAAAAGTTTCGCAGATTTGTTCAATGGGAATATTCAGATTCTCTTTAAAAAAATCAAAAACTTTATACATTTGTCAAAAACGAGTTGATTACCAATAAAAATGCTCTATTATATGCAAGATCTCGCTATTCACCCTTTTTTTTACTCAGCCTGTATATTTAGTGGGACAGTGTCGGTAACGAAGATGTGGTTAAATCTGATGAGTTTGAAAAGTTTGAAGAGGAAAGAATTAGAAATATCAGGGAAAGCTTTGCTAAAGGTAAAATGAAAAAAAATAAACAAAGGAACCGACTCTTTGCCACAAACTCAAATTTTCTATCCAGCTATTGCTTTGCAACCTGTTGGTGTAGAACTTTGATATTTCAAACTTACACTGTTTGATATCAATAGAATTAATAGTTTAAAACAGCTAAGGTCTACGTCTTTGGGTTGCAAAAATATAGGGATTTGAAAATCAGGGTGTGTGATAAAGACTCAATTTAAAGACTCAACTGTTTTTCTTTAAACCGTGACCGCTTATGCTAATTAGAATTTTAAAAAGGAAAAAGTTACTTTTGTAACGTATAGCTGTTTGTCTGAAAGCTTCATTGTCATATTCGTAGCAAAATAACCGTAATCCACTCAATACTGATCATTTCTTTTCGATTCAATGTTTTATTTATAATCTAAGGAAAACAAAGGGTTTTTTTGGACAAGAATTTTTGTTGTTTACAATGATCAAATAACCTAAACGATTTACACATTTTTGAATTCAGTTTTTACTACGGGTTTTGTCATTCCCAGAGTGAACTGTTCAAAAAAAACTGGTTTCCGGTTGGCAATTGTATTTTCTAAATGTAGTTTAAATCTTTTCATATTTTCTAAAAAGGAAGGAGAATTGTAAAAATTGAACAGTTATTGAAAAAAATCTATTTTTAGGAGAAAAACCCGAAAAATATGAATTTAAAGATGTTCCTCTACTGGATGATAATTTCTTAAATGACACCCACGTCAAGTCTGGAGATACCATTCTACAAGCAGGAGTGTATCAAGACATAAAATTTAAATTTTATTTTTAAGGATTTTAAGGATTCAAAATTTAGATTTTAGATTTTTGATTTCTTCCTGTAAATCAACTTATAAATTGTTAGTTAAATTTCTACATTTAAAAGCTCTTAAGTATTCTAAAATTGATATTTGATGTTATTTAATATCTATTTATATATAGAAATCTATACATCGTTTGATTCGGTTTGTCTGTTTGTTGGTCGGTTTTTATATAAAAAAAAAACTTCTGACTTAATAAGACTAAAATGTTTGTGGTTTATCACATTATCCCATCGCAACAGGAAAGGTTCTTAGCAGATCAGATTTTCAAAATTTTGGAAATCCACAAGAAAAAAACTAGAAAAATCTGCAAAACATGTTCCGCTTTCATTTCAATGCATGAAAGCCTTGTAGAAAGATAAGAAACATAAAGCTATGTTTATCCTCAGAATAAGGTTTAATTTGCAACCTAATATATGCTACCTTTTGCTTTATACACAATATTCTTGATACATGATACATTCTATGAAAAGATGATACTGCAAATGCTGAACGAGAAAAACAATTTAAAGAACATGAGATGATGAAAAAGTTTAAGAGAGAACAACAAATACTTCACGCTCAAGTAAAACATAATTTAACATTGTTGATGCATGTGGAAGTAACGTCTTTTTATTAGAAAAGTCTAACATTTTCATTTCTAACACAATGTGCACAGTGGAAAATTTTAGTATAAACGCGCGATGAAAGACCCGATCCAAGAAAAAGCAATTAACCAATGTTTTGGCGAAGAGAGGGTTTTTGGTTGCTTCTGTCTAGTTTTACTTTTTACTTGATCAGCCAGAGTGTGAAAGATACAGAAAATGAAAAAAAAATCAGACTTCAAACTTTCTAAAAAATAACAGGGTCTTGTATTTAAGACCTCTCCAGACGATGGAGGGGTGCTTGAAGAAAGGGATGGGGAGAGGAATGCTCAAATATTTTAATGGTTTTTGCTCATATTACATATATTTGGTGAAATTTGATATTTTTTTCCAAAAACAGAGGGTCTGAGGAGGTCGGCCCGGCGTCTAAGACTAGGTTTCAGACTCTAAGATTCTACCCGGGTTTTTTCTGCAAATATTCTTACCACGAGTAATTTTGTGACAAAAAAAAACAGAATTGGCCTTGTTTAGTTAAAAAATAGATTTTCTAGAATTATAATTATGTTTAAATCTTACTTTTGTTACAGAGTAAAGCTGAAAAAAGAAGGTTAGAGATATTGTTTGAGTCTGAGAGTGAAAAAAAAATCCATCTTGACAACCCACTCAGCATGAATAAGGTTTTTTGTTTCTTGAAAAATTCAAATTGAGCCATTTGACTTTGCATTAAAAACTAACTTAAAATTTAATTAAAACCACATGTTGGTCTTTAAGGAATTAATAATTACATTTCTTAAACTAAAACATCTGAATTAAAAGCTAAAAAGATTGAATTGAGATATTTTTTTTATTTTTTTGGGGGGGGGGCGGGGGTAAACAATTTAAGGTTTAATTTAACCCCTATTCCCAACCGTTCCTGGGTTTGAGGTGGGAGGGGTACACAATTTAGGGTTCAAATTAACCCCTATTCCCAACCGTTCCTGTTTTTTTCTCAAAATTAAGGAAGACAGTTTGTCAATTTTTCAATTCCTGGGAATTCCAATAAAGCTGCCCATGCGAAGAGAACCATTATCTCCAAAATCAAGAATCACTTGAATTAGTTTTCAATAACTCTTAAATTTTTTCGCTGGTTTATTTTAATTTTCTTCAATTTAGATGAAACAAGTATGGCACGTACAAGATCATATGGTAAGTAGCTTTTTTTGTCCTCGGAAAAAACTGATAACTCGCATCAAAGTTAATTTTTTGTTCAATCCTGGTATCTCTGTAACTTGATATTGTAACCCTTTTATATTTCAAGCTTTATCTTTTTCATCTAATAAAATTATAGATTGAAATATCAAAGGTTTACGACATCTAGGTATTAAGATGTGAAGATTATCAAAGAGTTTGAGTCTTTGCCAAATAAAATCAATTTTCTAATCCCTTTATTGTTGTAACCCAATGATGTAACATTATTGGGTTAAGACCTTAGATTTGTCAACATTTTGATTCCTATAGAAAAAATAGTTAAAGTGTGAAATATTAAAGGTCTATGACATCTAATTACAAAGATATAAGCATGTGAAAAGCTCAGTTTGAGGCGAAAACTCAATTTCTCTAGAGATATTCTGTTATCAGCTCAAATATTTCATCCATACCTTATTATATTGATCAGTAGATATTGTTAGATTCTGATTAATGAATTTAATCAACATTGATAAATGATTTCAGAATTGGAATTTATTCTTCATGGATTTATAAATTATGTAAAATCATTTTTGCATGAAGACACATATGCAATAAAGGGTTTAGCTAATTAGTTTTACATTTTATATTCTGTTAAAACCCTGTATGTTACCTTTTACTGATGCAGGCGCACATTACTTAACTTTAAACAGTTTTTTTTCTGAGGGTGGTTTAAATTTTTGGGTTTTTGAATTACACACCGAATCTTTAAAAATTTTGAAAATAATTTCCAGAATTGGAATCACATCACATCATCTCATGCTCATGAATAACTTAAAAAATTTGACAATCCCCCCTGAATGCATGTGTTTAAAGTACCCCATCATCGAAAGGTTTATTATAAATGTCAGAATGTATGATTTTACGTCAGAAAAAGAAGACAATTAGGGGATAATTAGGAGATTTGGATCATTCTGATTAAATAAACAATAATTTGATCTCAATCAGTTACAATTACATACATAACAAACTAACTGAAGGGCCCGGGGTTTTCTCAAAATTTTTAGAACCAGCCAATTTGGTTCAGTCGTTTGGCCCAATAGATTAACATCTATATACATACAGGGTGTCCCAATAAACATGGGAATTTAGTGATGAACTCGATATCGTCTTTTTAAATAATTCTTTGATTTAGTATAGTGATACCTACTGAGAAAGCTGTAATTTTTAAGAGATTCATCTGCTATGTTCACATTTTGTTTGTCCATGTTTTGACTGCATACAGTTGTACTAAATAAAACCAGAAAATTACAGTATAAAAACAGAGTAAACTTTTCCGTCTTCACTGTTCATCTTCCGGAGACATTATAGACACATCTTTACAGTCTTTGACCCTTTTCATAAAATAAACTCTAGCAGACATAATAATATTATGGCTTTTGAAATTATATATTACAATGCTAATTCATAACAAAGACGATATCCAATTCGTCACTGAATTGCCATGTTTTTTGGGACACCCTGTATATAAGTGAAGAGCTTTATTATAGATAGATAGGAATCAAAGGAAACTAACTAAAGTTTTAGATTAGTTTTTATTTTTCAACATTAACGAACCTTCATTTAAACTACAGACTATTTGTTTTCAACTTTTGTGAAACGGAAAACAAAACTACATTTCAATAGTTTTGATAAAAGATGGTTTTTATTAAATGTTACTCAAGTAAAATTATTTTGTTTTTATTTCTGTTGAGAACCACGTGGTGCTTCTCCGGATATGGGCATTTGTTCCGCTGATTACCTTCCTAGACTGTATTTGCACTTAATTGGTAGGTTTCAGACTGAAATATATTGAAGCGGGATTGAATTCAAATTGAAGAAACCGCGTCCAGTCCTGAGCTATGGGAACTCTTGTATTGTGGATATAGAGATCAATTATTAATCTTGATATTTTGTTTATCAGAAGATTGATTTAATCTCTAATCTATATCCCCCACAGTAATCGTACCCAGTCAGAGGTTGGTGGGAGTTTTAGTTTAGGGTGGGATATTTAAAAATGAAGATATGAAGTATAGTTCTGTTATAGTGAATTAAAAAAGTGCCCGCAATGGATATCGAGATCAAGTGATCTGGATTATGAGTATGCAAAACAAAAAGTTCCCAGCTCTGGTTGATCAAAGGTGCCTGATAGGCTGATACATTATGATGAATCGTTCAATTCTTTTTATTTTTAGAATCTGACTGAGTTTAATGAATCTCAATTCTTCCATCTTCATGATATAAACTCTGACGGTTTTTTGGATAGACAGGAGATTAGACTTCTTCTTATTACAGAGCTGAACCAGGAGTACAAGGAGGAAAACGAGGTGCAGTACACTTACTTACTCATGTACAATAGGTTTACTAAATATGTATAGGATTGTAAAACTTTTGTCTGAAATATGGGATTACAACACCGAACCACTCTGAACATTAAAGTGAAAGTGAATGTAGGCTGATATCGAATTGAATTTGATATCGATAACTACTAATTTTACTTTTATCTGTATATCCGATAAGGAGAAAATGGTTGAAAATGTCAAAGTCGATCTCACAAAGTGGCATCATTCCACCCGGACCGTGTATAAACCAATTAAATAAAGAACTAATCATTTAGATATTAAACAACCTTTAAATGTCAAATTCAATTCAATATACTCATATATAGTTGAAATTTCATGATATTTTTTATTTTTATGGACGATTTTCAACGTTTTTTTTGGCCGCTAGACGTCTCTGCTCTCAATGTCAGGGATTTAACTTGGGAGTGGCATCTAAACTAAAAATAGTTCATTGTTTTCAAATATTATGAGTGAAGAGTTAAAGCTTATCACAGATGTAAGTACTAAAATACAGTATGATTGTTTAAGAAAAGCAAAATACCGTTATTTATAACGCTATTTTTAGTTCTTTAAATCCTAAGTTGTTATCATGAAGGTTTACTACGTGGATGAATTTTTCAAGATTTAATTCATTTTCCAAAATCCAAAAAAATTTAAACGTTTAAAATGTGGTAACAGTTACACTTTTGTGTTTTTAATCCTTTTGGATCAAGTAGATATTTATCATTATATTGCAAATTTTTAGCCATGTAACATTTAAGTATCTTGATCTGGCAGAAATGATGAAATGTTTAAAGATTTAATATTTAAGTATCTTGACCTGGAAGAAATGAGTGAACTGTTAAAAGATTTAAAATTTAAGTATCTTGACATGGCAGAAATGAGTAAACTGTTTAAAGATTTAATATTTAGTATCTTGACCTGGCAGAAATGAGTGAACTGTTTAAAGATTTAATTTTTAAGTATCTTGACCTGGCAGAAATGAGTGATCTGTTTAAAGATGTAATATTTAAGTATCTTAACCTGGCAAAAATGATTGAACTGTTTAAAGATTTAATATTTAAGTATCTTGATCTGGCAAAAATGAAAAAAATGTTTAAAGATGTAATATTTCAGTATTTTGATCTGGCAGAAATGAAAAAATGTTTAAAGATGTAATATTTAAGTATCTTGACCTGGCAGAAATGAGTGAACTGTTAGAGAGAAAAAGAGAAGCTTCCCTTAATCTTGGAGACGTTAACAAAGATGATAAACTATCCTTCCAGGTAAACCATTCTCTAAATAACTAAATGGACAAGATATCCATCCAAAATCTTCTTTTGACTATTTTATGTTGTTCATATAGTTTCTTTAAAAAGCATTAAAGCCCTATAGGACAAGTCCCAAAAATACATTTGCGCAAATTTCATTTCGCCGAGGGACTTGCCCGACACAACATTTTCCTAACATTGACATCAGGGAATAAGAATAATAGGAATTGACATTCGCCCGATCCTGCAACATCCAGCAGCTATAGGGTTTCCATGCGCAAGAGCGTTTAATTCAGTTTCAGGAAAATTTGATCAAAGGAATTGAGTCTTTGTCACAAACTCTAATTTTCTAATTCCTGTTTCTTTGAAACCCAATGACTAGACTTTAGATTTTTCAAACTATGAGTTATGTAAGATCAAATAATCTCAGTTTGAAATATCAAAGGGTTACACCATCAGGTTGCAAATATACAGGGATTATAAAATGTAACGTTGTGGCGAAGACTTAATTCCTCTTGATTAAAATTGCCTTAATACAATTAAATTGTTTCTTAAATTCAATTTTTAAAAGCTAGTCTTCGAAAAAATACAAAGCACATGCGGGATTTTTTTTGCAGTGAATCGCAAAATTTGTATTACTAGCCTTAGAGGGCGCTTCGCGCCCATCTTCTAAATTAATTGTGAACATGTTCTCTTTGTGTACATCGTAAAACAAAACAAAAATAATTCGCGGATTTTCACAAAACATTTCGTGGATTTTCAAAATTTTAAAAAATTTAATGAAGATCGAATTTTGATGGAGACAAATGTTTAAAATTTCAATCATTCATAAACCTTCCCTGGGGTCCCTAGATGTCCCACAAAAAATTTGGGCCCGATCGGTTCAGCCGTTTTGACGTTTATTGGATACAAACAGACAGACAGACAGACAGACAAACAGACAGACAAGCCAAATTTATATATAGATTACTGTGACACTAGAAAATAGTTACTTGTCCCACTAATGCAATTTCTTGTTGTGGCTTGCAACAAGTTGAATTTGTACAGGTTAGCCAGCTACAGATCAAGTTTTGCGCTATTATTATATTATTCTTGACAAATATATGTAAAATGCTCTGTTTGAATGTTTTTTTGGATTTTTTCATTATTAAAAATAAAACTAAACAAAGTTCTTACAAAAATGCATCAAATCACAATAAAATAAAGAAACGTATATTGCATATTAATAAGTTATGATGAACAAAATGTGTCAATAACTTCTAACACTTTTTGTTGCTTCGTAATTTTGTAACCTCAGGATTTTGTTTGGTTTGGACAAATGTAAGTGTCGGGTTTTTAAGCTAACCAAACGACGATATCTTGCAACATTATTAATCGAAAAATGGTTTAAAGAGAAACGCTTTATGAATAGTGTATAACTCTCTTTAATTGTAAGGTCACTACTCACTAGTAATTTCAACGACTGCCCTATGTAAAGTCATTATGAAGCGAATATTTTGAGGAAAATGTATGGTTTGAAATAAATATATGTCTAAAAATCAAGAACAACGCGTTGGAGTATGATCACGTGCATTTTACTGAAAAGCGATGTTTATGGTACTTAATTAGTCTATACCAACAAACATAAAGAAACTTGAATACCATCAGAACAAATATTTATTATTTGTACTATTAGTCGTTGAAAAGCCCTTTGTCTCGTTTGAAAAGGCTCTTATTTATTTATAAATTATTTTTGTAAAATAATAAGATAATGAGTGGTCAATTAAATATAAAACCTTTTTTATTTTTTTTGGCATATTTGAACAACAACATTTTTAAGGTTGACTTCCCTGAAATTTGTTGACCTTTGATTATAATGGAATACTGCTAACAAGTCAAAATTAAAGGGACTCCACACGTAATATCAATTGAACTTCGGTTTATAATTCATAGAGCGGTATTCTTGAAAATCTTTGATCTCTTATTTAAATTAGTAATTCTTATCTTACAAAGTTGGTTAAATTGGTTAGTTGGTTGGTTGGTGGGTTGGTTGGTTGGTTGGTTGGTTGGTTGGTTGGCTGGCTGGCTGGTTGCTTTGTTGGCTGGTTGGTTAGTTGGTTGGTTGGTTTGTAGGTTGGTGAGATGGTTGGTTGGTTGGTTGGTTGGCTGGTTGGTTGGTTAGTTAGTTGATTGGTTTGTAGGTTGGTTAGATGGTTATTTGGTTGGTTGGTGTGTAATAAATCTAGGTCCTGAGATTACGCTACTCAAAGTCTAATTACAGTCTCACTGACCATATCTCTAGCCAAAACTCAAGGCTCTCAATCTCTAACCAAAAATCAAGGCTCTGTATACGTCCGTATAACACAAAGTTTCATGTAGTATTTTATTTATATACAGGTGAAATTAAACTGACCGCATTGGCCGGTCAGGGTTAAATTGAAATAGATAAGATATATTGATAACATGGATAATAAAGATCGTGATATGCATTACAACAGAAAATGCTACAGGTGCATTGGTTAGTGGGTTTGTGGGTCGATTGGTTAAGGTTGGTTGGTCGGTTTTTCCTGATCGAAGCATTTTGTTTGTTAGGGTTAGGCAAAGTTATGTAAACGTCCGTGAGGTTTTTTTAAGTTCTTACATAAAACGAACTATTTCTTTTTTGCCTATCCTTTTTTTTATCGGCCTATCCGTTACGTTTAATTTAACTGTTATTTTTGCACAATAATCGCGAGGTGACTTAAAGGGACAGTAAAGGAAAACTGAAAGGGGGTATAGACTGAAAGCTAATCACTTTAGCTCTCGATCGTGACCCATGAAAGTTTTATCTGATGTTCCTATCTCGAGAAATTGATTTACAACTGTGTCAAATTTATACGAAAATTAATATATATACAATTTTGTATAAAAGTAGTTTTTTGTAGTTTATTTATCGTTCTAAAATGGGAAAATATTTCGCCCCTTTTCTACTTTTATTTAAATAGAATACTATAAAATTTACTTTTTAGTTAAATGTTTAAAATGTGGCGTTGTGGTTTCGTGTTTCATTGGTAGTCCCTATAAACTTAACAATTTTCTGTACATAAAATTTTCTTTATTAAGACCTGCACCAAATCATATTTTCGTAAGAATAGTTATTAAATAGTTATTTCTCAAAACTCTTCATTGTAAAGAGAAAAGATCAATTCTTATATTATCTAAGAAATATATTCTTTTATATATTCTAGAAAACAGAATTCTGATAAATCTTGATAACTTTCTTTTTTCTAAAATTGTAGGAAAAGAAAGGAGAGAATTGCAAGAGCAAATATTCCACTCTCGGATAAACAGGTTAGTGTATTCAAACTTAAAGAGACTGTAAGCGTAATTTCAAATCAACCTCTATTCATAGATGGCAATGCCCGATCGACAGCAGTTCTCTTAAAATCTTTATCTGCTCAATCATGTCACGCACCTCTGACCTTTCAGAAAAAGTAAATTCAACCTAAAGTCTGACCGCGTCAACATTGTTGCACCGGCTAGTCCTTATTGAGGGCCTGCTTTATTTAACCAATGTCCAGGCGATACAGTACAAACTGGAACCGGAAAGGTTGACCCGGCTAGGAAATTCAAATGTACTATGGCTACCCGTGATGTGGAAGATATTGTCGTTTTTTTTAAAGTTTAAAAGTATTTAATCCGCACAAATCTTATACGTTTCCCCGTTGTAGAAATGTCCAAGTCACTTTTGTAGAGAAATCTTAATTGAAAATAATCAGTTTTTAAACTGTTAAACATTGATATCTAATTCATACTTGAGCAGATAACGCTTTCTAAGGGTACCGTTGTGAATCGGGCATTGCCAGCGTTGCATGGAATTACGCTTACAGTCCCTTTAAACCAACATTATTGTTTATTTTTCATTTTTTTTCTATATATAAATGTTTGTAAGAAGATGGTGAAGCTGTTAAAATGATGAACAAGTATTTTTTTCATTTTCTATGAAAAAAAAACTTTTTAAAAGTTTGAATGTTTTAATATTTTCACACTATTACCATGGAACACGAAATTATTGTTCTTTAGTCGTGAACTCTGTAGCTCATAACGATACTTGAAGGCACAAGAACACTTTAACTTTTTCATAAGGGGGTCAAGCGGGAGATTTACTGCTTTTCATAGTTGATATAATAACAAAAAATCAAATAAAATCATCGTCGCGTATATAGCTGTTATTTACATATTATCATAAGACCTCTCTCCTCACACTTATATCTAGACAAATCTGAAATTTAGTCATCAAATGTTGGCCTTTAGTTTTACCTCACCAACTCACTTGTAATTTTATGCAGTCAAAGACATAAACATTTTAAAAATGCATTAGAGAAATACTGCTTGATATTTGCGTTTCTGTGTGCACATCTTGTGCGTGCACATCTTGAACCTGCACATCTTGAACCTGCACATCTCGAGCGTGCACATCTTGAACCTGCACATCTTGAACCTACACATCTTGAACCTGCACATCTTGAACGTGCACATCTTGTGCGTGCACATCTTGTGCGTGCACATCTTGAACCTGCACAT